GCATCACTGTCAGCGATGCGAAGGACTGTTGAGCTTTGATTTTGTTTTGCATAAATTTTGGCATGCCGAGTTCATATGTATTTGAAGCCTTTCTCCTTTCCTCTTGTGCATGCCATCCAGAAGAGCTTCCTATTAGCGTCAGTAAGATTGTCGTTAAAGTATATTCGAGGATGGGAATCCTCAAGGGGGATGGATTTTAGGCTTCCCCCGAGTGGACATCCAAGTTTCTTTTAATGGGACTGAGGAGAAACAAATCAGGATTGGAGGTATGGATCCTGTTCTGACCGGCAGACGTTGAGCAGACATCATATGTGCAGGTTGAAGATCGATCTTCAACTTTCCTGCCAGGTCAGTCATAATATCTGCAACTTTCTCATTCGACTTGAATGGAATCCAATGTATTTCCAAGTTCGGGAGGCGATTGGTTTGATCTGTGTCATTCTGGTTGGACTTGAGCTGTTGAATTTTCTTTGCTTGCTCTGCCAAGACAGAACGCAATGTACTCATTTCGGTTTGAAGTTCCTTGATGACGTTGTCGTGAGATTTGGATGACTCCACAAGAGAGTCGTATTCTGATGAAAATAAATTCAGTGAATTCTGCATCTCACTCAGGCTAACTCTCAAAGTATCTACAGTCTGAGTCAAAAGCAGCAGAGTATCTACCTTCGGGAGTAGCTCATGAAGAGCACCAACTGAGTCTTTCCAAGAAAGAAGTAGGTCTAGTTTTTCATTAACTTCTGGGAGCTGTGCTGAGACGGCACTAGTGTTGGTTGGAGTGAATGGAATGTCAAGGCTTTCCAAGTTAGCCTTTGACTGCCTTCCGCGGCATGCAGGGCAGCGCCATTTGTCTACCTTCGATGCGCTCATTCCCTTAAATGCGCTTTCAGAGATACCTGAGCATTTTTTTCCTAGGTGGTAGACCTTGGCGCATTCATCGCACTTCAGGTAGCGGTCGTCATTCGGCATGGAGTCTGAGCATAGTGCACCGAGTTCAGAAGTAGCCATGATAGTCGATTTCAGTTGAGGAAAAATGAGGAGGGTTATTGCCACCAAGGTTATGACTAAACAAAAGGAAAGCAGAATGCATAGATCCAGGCTCACCCGTGAAATAAAAGGTGTCAGTTGGCTATCCCTGGTCCAAATGCCCACAGAGCACCCACAGAAAATTTGTGTGGGGTCCTAGAGGTCTCTATGGGGCACCCATGGGGTTGTATGGGTGTCCTGAAATCTCTGTGGGGTCAGGCCTGTGGGCCTATCGGACATGTGGGTTACTGTGTGGGGTCCTTTGGGTAACCCACACAGCCTGTAAGTGCTCCTTTGGGTAACCCACACAGCCTGTGGGGGCTTCTTTGGGTAACCCACACAGCCCGTGGGGGTTCTTTAGGTGACCCACAGAGTCTGTGGGGATAAAACCCTGGCTTTTATGGGACATGTGGGAAATTCTATGGGTTGATGTAGGTATCCTGCAGCCTGTGGGGATAGAGCCTAGCATCCCATAGGACAAGTGCGACATTGTGCGGGCTGCTGTAGGGATGCCACACGCTAGGGGGCGGTCTGTGTAGCTACACGGGACATGTGTGACGCCTATGGGAAGCCTGTGAATGTGCCCCTCAAGATATATTCTACAGAAATCATGCAAAATATAACTTTTTGTAAGTCTTTTTTTATTAATTACATCGTTCATCCCAGTGCGCAGAACACTACGCCGACGACGTCGACCACGCGGGCTTTTCTTCGAAATGGGGCTTCTAATGCACAGGCATCAATACTTTATGTCAACATTGTTCCGAAGTCAGTTTCGTGTTCTGTGTTGTGACCTTATGAGTTCTGTATTCTAGCGAAAAAGCGTATTGCCAAAATGCAGAGCAATAAATCTATATGTTTATAGGCAACTGACAAATTAGATGCAGGACATGACTTATCTGGACTCTTGTTAGGTTTGTTATACAGATATCCAGTGAAGCGCAAACAAAACAAGAAAAAAAGCTAGTGCACTGATGAGTATACATGAACAAATGCAATCATCTTGCAGCAGAATAGTGATTAAGTCTAAAAGAGGAGCATGTTTTAAAAAGACAAATATGGAGACAGACTGAAAAACAAAAAGCAAGCAGTTTTTCCTGAGCAAAATGCATGTACCCAGGTAGCACACCGCGTCGGTCGGTATCGGGGCTACGCCGGCCGGTCCTGTAACAGGATGCGGCGCCCGGCCACGGGCGCCCTTGAGCTACCGGCCCCGTCCGGCGTTGGCGTCTCGTCTTACGAACTGGTCAGTTGAGCAGAGGTTACAGTGACTGGCCGGAATTGTGTTTTTGCTGTCTTTGCTGGCCAGTACCCAAGCAACCACTGGACATCCATCGGACATCCGATGGATATCCCTTTCGGATATATCGTACATCCGAGGGCCATCCGCGAAAATCCGAAGGACGTCCCGTGGACGTCCGACGGACGTACAAAGGTAAGAGTTTTGTACATCCGGAGGACATCCGAACAGGGATCCTCAGCGGACATACTTTGAATATCGCGCCTCAAAATCCCTAGGGATTAGGGCATTACGTCTAAAGGCCCGTTCACACTCTTGCGACCGAGTAAAACCGAGAGAGGCCACACCGGTTTTTAAGCCTCTTGCGATCTCTTAGGACCAGCTCCGCTGCAGCGCATCCGGTCCTAAGAAGTCGCAAAAGGCTTAAAAACCGGTCTGGTCTCTCGGTCGCAAGAGTGTGAACGGCGCTTTATGCTTTACCCTTTACTTGGACAGCTATGAATGTTCAAAATGTCGTACCCTAGCCCGCATGCTGTGCCAATGAAAGACCATGAGCCAAATCTATGTTGAAATAAGATGATAATTTTAATAGTATGCTGTTTCTTAACCTTTAGCTTAGAATTCGAACCTGGCACTTGATAAGTCTAGGGTGTGTCGTCAGACGTACTTGATCTGTCGTTTTACGTAAACAATGTGCTTATATAGGGGGTTGGGGCACAACTGCATTTTTTATATTTTGGGAGATCAATTTGTACTTTTTTCATCTTACAATTTGAGGGTTTCTGGTCGCTTTTCACAGCCAGTAGCCAGAGACTGGAATCACAGAGTGCGAGCCCGGCAAGATCAATACACAGTGAAATGTCGCAAGCTGCACTAATGCGAGGTACAGTTTCTCCTGAAAACCACTTATATTGTTTTTCGCTTTTTGTATTCTAATGTTACCAATTCCCAACTTAATCAGACATCTCCAAACAGGTGCTAGTGGTTCGTCCCAGTCGTCTAGCACTTCGATAAACACGCTGGCTCCCAGTCCACAAGATAAAGGTAGCTATAGGGTGTTTTCACTGACGTAATTTCGTCCACCATTTTGTTGTTGTGAGCTGTCTGGCGTGTGCCAAACTCGAGCATTCCAAGGATTGACACGCCCCCTCAAATGCGTAGAGCACCGCTGACATCATCTCAACCGGTTACGATGTAATCCTTCAATGTAGTAAATTTGTGTGAAAAAACAAGCTAACAACAAAATGCCAAATTGACGTTATGTGCGAACAACCTATAATGTATGGCCATTTTACAAATGAGGGGCTATGCACATATTGCTGCAAGTTGAGGTGCAAAGCTTGCAGAACCAATTAACTTTAATTTCATTTCCGTGTGAGCGCTGAAGTTTTATATTTAATCAAATTTGGGCAAGAAAATATATGGAGCACCATGCCACCAAAAACAAGGTGGCTTTCTTCACATCTAGGAACCTAAATATGAGAAAAATCCATGTCACCATTTACCCTTCTTGCATGTAGCCCCTTTAATTGTCTTTATCTTCGCAGGTGCCTGTGGTTCGTTCCAGACACCTAAAACGTCAACAAGGACACCGGCTCCCAGTTCACGAAATAAAGGTACATTGCATGATCGTTTTACAAATAAAGAGCTACGCACACTAGCAGTGCAAATTCAAATGCAAAGCTTGCAAAAACAATCGCCATCTCTTTCATATCTTTCTGGGTGAAGTTTTATATTTAATCAAATTTGAGCAAGCAAATGTATGGAGCACCATACCGCCAAAAACGAAGTGACTTTTTCACATATGGAAACTTTTCGGTAGGCTTTTAGCATATTAAATAAAGTGAACTCTCCAGAGGTGGATATTTTTTTGCCTGGAAGTTTTAGCGTGCGAGCCCTGCTCAAGGTATACATTGATTGTATGTTTTCCTTTCTGTTTTTTAAACAACAGATATGGGGGCAACAGGTTTCTGCGCTGTATGTTTTCCACTGTCGGAGGTCACATTCTGTTGATATTACATATGTAAATTTTTTTCCTACTTTTTTAGGCATGTTTTTTAATTTTGTATTCTGTGTCATTTGAGCTCTTGCATGTATGCATGGTGCACCCTCCTGTAGGCCCACGGGCTCTTGAAGGGCAGTTCAGAAGTACCAAATAAATAAATAACATAAATAAATATGAGAAGCAATCCAAGTCACCTTGTACCCTTATTGCATCTAGCGCCTGCAGTTGTCTTTATCTTCGTAGATGCCAGTGGTTTTTCAACCGCATCTCAAACATTGACGAGGATGTCGGCTCCCAGTCGATTAGATCAAGGTACTTTACTGCAGAATTGTGTTGCAGCTGCGTATTAAGATATTTTGTGTGTCCTTCATTAAATTTTTTCAGCACTGCAGGCTATGCAACACATGACGCCTAGCACCAGTGCTTCGACCTGCGGTAAGCTAATTTGATTTCAATTGTTTTTCTTTCACAGCATGGTTGCACAACTTTGAATAGTTTTGAAATGGCTAAGCTCTTGACTTTTTGCCATCTTTTTTTTTTCTTTTTAGCTGATCTGCGGGCCACTGCTAGGATCTTGAGTGCTGCTGGTAAGTAGGATGTTGTCTCCTGCCTGTACTAATTTTATTTGCCAATATTTATTTCAAGCCTTTTCTTTGCATGCAGAGTTTCAGCGACGGGTGCTGAATGGGATGAGCGTCATGAGGAGCCAGCAGGCGGAGATAATAAACATGATTTCGACATTGCTACGAGCGCGTGAGAGTTTCGTTGTAGAGCCCAGCCAGCCGATCCTCGTTGATCCCCTCGACACTCCTGAAGCAATTGAGGTGTTTGATGGCGCTCTTACAGATGCCACGAGTGAGGCTTTGGTAAGCAATTGCTGTTATCAATGCCTGCCCATACTCTAGTTTTTGTCACTTACTGAGGCAAGTATTGGTGTTTGCATTCTCTAGGCTTTGCTGTTATGTCTTATCCCTAGTGTGCAGCTAAGGTTAAGACATGCAGATAACAAATAAGCTAGGAGCAAGCTGTGATTTTAAATCGAGATGCATCGAAGGGGTGAGACTGCCTGTTCTCTGGTAAGCAACAAAGGTGTTTGTAATGGTGCTATACTTTAGCATTATTTCATGAGTGTAGAGCAAGCTCTGACTACTTCCGTATTTCTTCAAATGGCAACTCTGTCCCACAGTTCCAGATCTTAGAGCATGGGAAATGACTAATGAGATAGAACAATGACTAGGAGGTGTAAACAACTGCCCAAATAAAATAAAATTTGGGCCCTCACATTCATTCAATCTTTCTCAAGGTATCACCAGTTCACTCATACTGGCCTCGGAGATAAAGAGGGGGTGTGAATTGGCTAATTGTAAAGCCTAGCCCAGTTAATACAAGCTGTAAACCCATTCATGCTCAGGTTCTTTCTATCCAGCTAACCTTGAATGCCAAACATTTTTGGCTATACTTGCTTTCTGGGTATCGTAATGCTCCTTATGTCATGTCTTACGTTCCCCAGGCACCAGCCCCACGTTTTATGTGCTCAAACACGGCATTGGCATTTTGCATGGACAGTGAATTGAGGATTGCATTTTCTTATAACCAAGGTTATTGCCCCAAGATGAACCCTTTCCATGATATAAGTAGCTTTGGGGATAGCGTTTCACTGGTCAGAGTAAAACAGCGAAAACTGGCTATGTCTTGTTCGTATTAACTGTGTCGTGCTCTGTACGTTCCTTCCAGGTTGTGGAGCTGACCTCCCTTGGGGACCTGTCTATCAAAACAACTGTAAGGTCTATGCTTGCACACCTGATTAGTGACGAAGCTGCAGCCAAGTTCAGCATGGATGGGCGCAAAGGGAAGAAGGTTTTCCGTAGCCTTAAGCTGTACAAATTGATCTTTGGTAAGTAGAAGTTTGCAACGCAATTCCCTGCCTTTTTAAGTTGTACTATAAGGGTCATCTATTGCTTTCAGCTGCTATAAAGCGGACAAAGCACTGCAAAGAGTCTACGAAAAAAGAGGTGGAAACGGAAGTCAAGGAGTGGCTTCGCCGCGCAAAGGAGAGGTGCACCACTTCTAAGGGAGAGTAGGCATCTACCTTCAAGTGTGAGAAAGGTGCCTCTGCCCTGGTTCTGATTGCAAATAAAAAACTATTTTGCTGTCTAACATCCTTGTTTCCTTCTAGCTTACGAAACATAAGGCCAACTGGCACTGCGACATCACTACGTAAAATGTAATCAAATGATTGCAAAATTACTTTAAAAAGTAGTACACATGCATCACAATTCATTTGATTACTTGTAGTCGAGAACATACAATACTGTTTTTCTTTTTACCGCACACAGTATCAGCTTGAAAGGAGCTTACAATTCTAAGGTTCTAGGCCTCTATTAATGGACCTTCGGACAACACTTGAAAAAAAAAACGAATTACCGATGTGTCCACCTCTTTTTTTCCCCGTCATACCTATTGAATGATCTTGGAGACCCCAGAAAGCATCTATTGCGCCCCTCAAACCCTTAGCAAATCCTAGAGGGCCCATCAGACTTTGCAGAAAATTGTGATGGGCCCCTATGGAACTTCAGGAAATACTGTGATGGGACCTCTTAAAACCTCAGGAAATCTTGAAGGGGCCATCAAATCTGTCAAAGAATCTTGGGGGGGGGGGGGGCCTCAAACCTATCTTCATTAGGGAAAGGTATATCCTCTGCACAAAAAGGTTCTGTTATGATAATCGTTTAGTGCAGAATGGGACCACTTTTAAGTAACTGTTTTGGATGGTTTCCCAATACCTATTGGGATATGTTCGAACATCCACAAATGGACAGCCCTCGGACATCCATTTCTGTATATCCACAGGACGTCCACTATTAGTCCGAATTTGGACGTACGGAAACGGATGTCCAGTGTACGTCCGACGGACGTCCTTCCCTGGCAATGGATATTCGGCTCTTGTTCGGACGTCCGACGGACATACGTGGTTGCTTGGGTATTTTCATGGAGGTTCCAGTAACTGGCCGGCATCGGTATTTTGCTGTCTTTGATGGCCAGTATTTACATGGAAGTTCAGTAACTTTCTGGAATCTGCGCTTTGCTCTTCACGCTGGCGAGTCCTGCCGTTGAAGTTCCGTTTGCTGACCGACATCGTTTTATTTTTATTTTTTTGCCGTTTTCACTATGCAGTCACATCATTGAGATTCTGACCAACTGCGGCATGAATGGCATGAATAGCGAGGGGAAATGTTTGCGTTGATAAATCCTTCGTAAATGACTGCCGACGCTGGCGTATTTGATCCCAGCGTGCCAAGGCTGACGTGTTTTACCGCAAAAACGAGAAAAAAAAAACAAAAAAAAACGCGGCGAGGGAAGCACATTCAGGATATTGAGAATCTGAACACGTACGCCACGAAAAATAAATTTTACAACGCCGAACGATATTTTTTCAGGAATCTAGTTTAATTTGATGCACTATACTCAACGTCCGGTGGTATACGCACGTCTTTGACTCGGATAAAAAATAAAAACGGTATAGCGGATCAGTGGTGTCGCGAGGGTTAGGGGCACCCGGGGCGGTAGCCGGCCGCGACACCCCCCCCCCCCCCCCCCTTGCGACGCCACTGTAGCGAAGCCTCCGAATGAAAAAAAAAAAAAAAAAAAAACACGTGGCAGGATTGAGCACCCGCTTTGAGCTTCAAAAACAATAATAAACATTACTCTCCAGAAACCAGAAAAAGTAATTGTATTTATTGCTCACGACGCCACGAAAGGTACGTAAATCTCCTCAGACCATGTTATTAGTAATTTTAATTGAGTGTGAAAATATGCTGATTCAGGCAGGAATCAAATGTCTTAGTTACGATCATCTAACAGAAATATTTCAAATGTTCACATAGCCAGACGATCTGTCGCCCGAATCCCGATAGCTTGTGTTATAGACATACCGCACCAGAAAAACGGGAATATAAAAAAAAAAAAAAAACTTCCTTTTTTTTCTTTTTTTTTAGCAGAAAAAAACGAGAAACACCAATGCGCTGTGGATGTCTGCCCTGCCGGGTTTGTGAACGTGACCCCTTGACGCTACGAAACAAATGTTATAACACCAAACGATACCGTTTCTGCTAGCTAGTTTAAGTATCCGCACTGTTCTTGGAAGTCAGAAATAAAAACATCTCTAGGCCTAATAAAGAAGTAAAACTGCGGAGTGCAACCCCGATAAGTGAAACCAGGATGTACCAGAACAAAATTAAGTACTACTTTCCGGTAGTCAGAAAATTTAGAAATGTGCTTAATACGTAGCGCGCTATGAGCTTAGCTAAATAACTGCCTTAAAGTAGCGGTATTTTCGTTTGAATAGTGGGTAAAGATGACCGCCTTCAGTCAAACTTTGGCTGCCTCACTGTGGCAGCTAGTTTGACCACTTACGCATTTTCCCATTTTTCTCTCAATATTCCCATTATTATTACCTTCCTTACTTCGTTGAAAGGATTTGCGGCGCCTGCCTATTACACTGACCCACCTATTAGCACAGAGGGAGCGAATTATCTCGGCAAAACAAGAGGGCCACGGCTTGTGCATGTATCAAAATTCAAACTTGGGCTCGCACTTCCTATTTTTACATTTTCAGTGATTTTTACCCGAAAGTAGGGGGCCGGCGACCGCAAAAAAAAAAAAAAAAAAAAAAACATAGCAAATATTTAAATCAATAAAGACAAAAAAACATAATAAAAAGAAATTAAAAAATGTTCAATTTTCTGGGATTTGAATCATCGACCATACGATCACAAGCATAGCGCGCTAACAAGATAGGCCACGCGCCCCATCGTTGGAGCGGTTTTTTTTGCAACTTATATGTCTGCTGAATTCGTTTTTAAACATTGTGTGGCTAGTCTCGTATTTAATTTTTTGCTACCTGTTCAGGATTGTATTTCTAACATTGTGGTGATGTTGACATGCTCAATCATTTAATATTACTGTGTCTTCTAATCGTTTTAAAGCGCTTTGCTGATCGTTTTATTGCAAGCGTGTTGAAGATACGCGAACATAGCCTCGGTAAAGTCGCTAGGCATCCATAATAGCCAACGAATGCGATCCAATATAATCCACAATCTTATTTTGCACGTTTTGCCGGTCGCGTTGTCCGTGAGTGTTTCAAATCTCCGTCATAAAGTAAATTTACCGATTATTCGTGATGCGTGGAGTGCACCTTAGTTTCAAATGTGTCTGAAAAAGAAGGAAGCTACTGTGAGCCGTGCAACTACGTCGAATCTCCTCAACAGCCGAGATCGTGGCACGGTCGTTCCAAAGTAAGTTCCTTTCTTTGTTCGTTAGGGCTAGATTATTCTTTCCTCCCTTCATAATGCTTGTTATTGTCTCTAGATCACTTGCTTGTATCGTTGTTACTAATTGTGCGCGAATGGTGTTATGCCAGGCTGTGTTTCTTCTTTTTTTCCCCGATGCAGAGCACTCCATCCTCGCACCAATTAGCGGTCACAGATGAGCGCTTAGGCTGCATACTCGCTCCAGGTCCATCAGTAGCGGCGGAAATTTTCGGGACATGGGGGCGGGCGGGCGGGCGGGCAGGCAGGCATGCTAAGACGGAAAAATAAAGGGAGGGGGGGGTTGGTTTGATTGCCTCCCTCCACCGTACTGTTTACTGGTAAACTAGAATGTCTGGAAGAGCGCGGTGCCCCTCCATTGCCGAAGCTCTAGGTTTGACACCACAGGTGGATTCTGTGTGCGTATTTGCGTCCGGAGAGCTGGACCAGGCAAAAGTCAGCGATTGATTGATCGAGCAATCCCGTAGCTTCCGCCGCCCAGTCGCCTACAAACGACTTCATTTTCTCGATGTATAACCGGAAAAGAATTGCCAAAAATTGGTGCCGCGGTAAAATCACCCCTCGGTGATTAATGCATAGCATGCCACTCCCGATCGCAAACATTTGTGCCCGCGAAAAACTTTTTGACACCGCTTCTACAAGCGTGTCCTTATTTTGAACTGTGTCGCGCCAATTTATGGGAGGTATATTTTGTTCAGTGTAAGTATATAGTGTTCATACCTCACCCAATTCCTGTTTTTTTCTCTTTGGTACTGCCTTTAGCGAATGGTGTAGGTTGTAATTGTTTTTGGTAGTAAGGGGATGAGCTGGGGCTAATTGAACACCTTGAAAATTAGTTCACAAAAAGTCATGGAGACAAGGAGGGTAACACATAGACCACATGCAAGCGCAGACTCAACTCGCATAAACAGAGAAGAAGGAAATAAAGAATGCGGAAGGAGCTCGAGCAGAGGCCCAAGTGGGAACGCGCTGATTTACCCATTCGCAAGTGCAGATTTAAAACCATAATTTTCTCGTCGTTTAAGGTAACAGATCGATGGCTAATACATCAAAACAGCTCAATTTCTATCTAAAATTCACGATGGACTGTCAGCTATCTATCCACTGTTTACACTGCTCGTGTATGTCATCCCTAGAAAAAAACGTGGATAATTGGCATATACTATGAAAAACATAAAAGAGGATTATTTTAGGCGTTTATTATTCATAGTATGGGCAACCAATGTGTCTGCACATTCGTCTGTTACTTGAGCTAACAAGGAAATTGTTTTTAGCCTTGTGGCTATGATTGAATTAACACGTTCCACTTGGACCTGTTTAGACTTTTGCTAAAACTCCGTCCGAATTCTTTTTTTTTTATTTTTGCTATAATTTATGTGACTTGGGAGTCTGCAGTTGTATGTAGTGTATGTATTCCTCGACCCTTTATTCCTTGTTTTTTGTGTACTATTTTTTAATGTGTTCAGTTAGAATGAACTCACCACTTTACTACATGGAACGGATGTTGTTAATTCTAGAACTTCTGTAAAACAATCTACCTGACATCTTTGCCTTGCGCCACGGTTCCTAAAGCTCAGTTCTCCGAGCACAGCCTTTTTGATTTCTCTGATGCTCTCTTCTTTCTTTTGTTTTTAATGGACTGAGTTGCTAGTGTGCACCTGTCTGTGTTCTACGT